CCCGAGCCACCCCCGGGCGAGGGGCGTGGGCGCTCGCGCAGCCCCCGGCCCACCTGGCACAAGGAGCCCCCCGGGTCGATGCCTGACGGAGGGGCTGACGTGCTGGGGAAGCCCCGGCAGGCACGGGCCCCCCTCGCACCCCTCTTTGGGGGGCCAGGGGGTGAGGCAGGGGCTGAGGCAGCCACCAATGGCCCTGGGCATGCTGGCAGGGAGGAAGAGGAGGAGGAGTACCGGTTGCTCACCGTCACCCTCTCCAAGCTGAAGCACTCGCTGGGTGGGTGGCATGCTGGTGGGACCCCGGGGGTGGGGTGGGGATGGGGTAGGGACCCTCCTTCTGGCACCAGCATCACTGGGTTGGGTGGGACCCCCTTGGCATGGGGCACTCCATTTAGGGGGTAGGGGGGCAAAACTCCAGGAACTGCCCCTACCTACTCCTCCAAAACTAGATGGGGAGGAGCTGCCACTGCCAGTGGCCTTGTCCCTGTAGGACCTACCAAAACAGGGCAGGACAGAGGCACAGCTGCCCAGGGCAGGGGGTGCCGTGCCCAGGAGCGGGTGGGGGTCCCAGCCTACCTGGGTGCGAGGGTCTGGCGGCTCCCTTGCAGGGATCAGCATCTCCGGCGGCATCGAGTCACGGGCACAGCCAGTGGTGAAGATCGAGAAGATCTTCCCCGGGGGAGCCGCCTTCCTCAGTGGCATCCTCAAGGTACGGGGGAACCTTGGGGGGACCCAGCACACCCCAGGGGGTGGGCAGGCATCCAGACATCCCCATCCTGTGGTGCTGCTGGGTGCTAGCAATCCCCTGGCACCCCAAAATTGGCTGTACTTAACCCCACTGCCTTCTCTCGCGGGGGCCAGGCCGGGCAGGAGCTGGTGTCGGTGGATGGGGAGAGCCTGCAGAATGTCACCCACCAGCGGGCCGTGGACATCATCCGCCAGGCCTACCGCAACAAAGCCAAGGAGCCCATGGAGCTGGTAGTGCGGGTGGCCAGAGTCCCCCCGGAGTGACGCTGCACCCCGCAATTCAAGGAGCCGTCCCGCGCTCTGGAGGAGCCAGAGAGCTCATCCCTGCACCAAGCTGTGGCCGGTCTCAGCACAGGCAGAGGGCACGAGAAGCGGAGCCGCCCCACGGGCATGGAGGAGCTGCCCGCAGCAGGACCCAAGGGGGAGGCAATGCTGGCAAGGCAGGAGGGGGACAGGCAGCCCCAAGCCCTGCTCTGGACAGATGGATGCAGCCTTGAAAAAAAACACAGCCAGGGGCTTGTTTTTAAATGGGCGTTTCCAGGTGGTACACAGGTGAGCCAGGCTCTGGGAACAGGACACAACCAAAATAAAGTACAAAAACACCCCCCCGGAGCCGGGGGCGACCAAGCCAGAGCTGGGCACAGCCAGGCTTTTCCTTTGGTTTGACTCCCCTTGGTGCCCAACTGGGCCCCCCACCTCTGCCCACCCCAGGCATGTCCCTGGGGTGTCCCCAGCTGGCACCCCTGGCACCGCACCCCTCTCCCTTTCCAGGCTGGGCATCACAGGGGCATGGGCCAGGCATTTTTTTGGGGGGGAAACAGGGATGCCAGGGGCAAGGGCGTGGGAAAGGCACTGAGGGCAAGCTGCCCCATGGCAGCGGTGAGGGGGCAACAGACAGGCGGGGTGTGAGCTGGGAGAGGGTGATATGTTTTGGTAGGTCCTATAAAAATAGAGTTATTTAAAATGGCACAGAAACCAATCCCCTGACAAACACACGGGGGCTGGGGGGGAGGCTGGCAGGGACAGGGCATATGCCATCCCCTCTTGAAGTGGCTGGGTGACAGTGCCCAGCAGGAACAAGAGGGAGGGGACAAGACAGCCCTCCCCCTGCCCAAGGTGACCCTGGCTGAAGCCAGTGCAGCTAATCCCCTGGGCGCTAAGAGGATCAGCGGGAACCAGCTCCGGGCAGCTCTGAGGCCAGGACTCAGTACCCACCTGGCCCCGCATCCCACGGGCACCCCCCTGCTGCAGCGGGTGCCAACGCACTCTCACCCCAACAACTCCATACTGGGGAGGGGGCAGTGCCTGCGGTCCCCTCTGCCCCCTCCCAGTGCCAGCGGTCTCTGCAGAGCTGGGGGGAGAGCCGGGATCCCCTGCTGCCCCATGGCTCCCAAAATCCCAGGGGCTGCAGGCCCCTCCACCCTCCGAGCACAGGGTGAAGGCAGGCAGAGGGCAGGCAGTGTCTCAGATCTCAGTGGCCGTGATCTCCTCGAAGGGCGGGTCAGGTCCAGGGGGGTCGCAGGGCTCAGGCAGGGGGTCCTCGCCCTGGAGCCGGAGATGCTGGAGCCGCTGCTCGAGCCTCCGGTTGCGGCGGTACATCTGGATGTAGCTGTACTGCAGCTGCTTCTGGTAGCGGATGACCCGCTCCTTCTCGCCCTGCCACGTGCCACGCTCCTGCTCGAAGGCGTCCCGCTGCTCCTGCCCACGCCGCCGCTCCAGGGCCACCTCCGCCCGCAGCTGCTCCAGCTGCTGCCGCAGCCCCGCACCGCTCCGGGGCTCCTCGCTGGGTTGGCGACATCCCTCGCCGGGTGGGGGGCATCGCCCGTGGACGGCTTCCCGCAGCCCCGCCACCTCCTGCTCAAGCCGGCCGGCTTTGGCGCGGAAGAGGTCGGCCTCGCTCTTGCGGCGCTGCAGTTCGTTGGCGCAGACCTCCAGCTCCAGTGCCTTCATGCGGGCGGCCTCCT